GTTTGACCATCTGTTTGTGGGTGACAAGTTGTAGAAAATAATAACTTAGTTCCTAACTTACTCCACAGAACACGCCAAAAATGACTCAAAAACTTCACGTCTCTATCAAACACTATACTTTTAGGTACTCCATGTAAACGTACTATTTCCTTAAAGAACAAGTCCACAATATTAGTAGCATCGTCAGTTTTATGACATGGTATAAAGTGCGCCATCTTACTAAACCTATCGACCACTACAAATATTGAATCCCTACCCCTCTTTGTCCTAGGCAAACCTAACACAAAATTTATAGATATGTCTACCCATGGTTCACTAGGCACAGGCAAAGGAGTATACAATCCATGAGGTTGAACCTTAGACTTAGCCTTTTTGCAAGTTATGCACTTTTCACATATTTGCTCTACGTCATGTCGCATTCTAGGCCAATAAAAATGTTCTCCTAACATGTCTAAAGTCTTTTGAACCCCAAAGTGTCCCATTAAACCACCCCCATGTGCTTCCCTTACCAAATAATTCACGCAAAGAACAATTAGGAATGCACAACTTATTTTCCTTAAACAGATATCCTTCATGCCTATAGAATTTATCAAATGCACATTTGTCACATCTATCAATTTCATACATGCTTTTAATATGCTCAAAACCAAGTAATCTAGTACTTAATGAATTTAAAAGCACGTACCTTCGAGACAATGCATCAGCAACTATGTTTTCATTACCTTGTTTGTACTTGATGACGTATGGAAAAGTCTCAATAAACTCCATCCATCTCGCATGTCTTTTGTTCAACTTACCTTGACCTCTCAAATGCTTCAAAGATTCCATCTCGCATGTCTTTTGTTCAACTTACCTTGACCTCTCAAATGCTTCAAAGATTCATGATAAGTGTGTATCACGAATTCCTTTGGCCATAAGTAGTGCTGCCAAGTCTCCAAAGCTCGAACAAGTGAATACAACTCTTTGTCATATGTCGGATAGTTCAATGCTGCTCCACTCAACTTTTCACTAAAGTAAGCAATAGGCCTCCTTTCCTGCATTAATACTGTTCCTATACCTATCCCTGATGCATCACACTCAACCGCGAATGTTTTATCAAAATTAGGTAATGCTAAAACAGGTGCTTTACATAGCTTATCCTTAATCATGTTAAATGCAACTTCATGTAATTCTCCCCAATGGAAACCTACACTCTTCTTTACTATTTCAGTCAACGGTGTGGTGATGGTGCTAAAATCTCTTACAAACCTCCTATAAAAACTAGCCAATCCATGAAAACTTCTAACTTCAGTTATAGTCTTAGGTGTTGGCCATTCTTTTATAGCTTTTATCTTTTCTTCATCAACTTCTACCCCATTAGCACTAACCACAAATCCTAGGAAAACAACTCTATCCATGCAAAATGTACACTTTTTAAAATTGGCATATAGTTGTTCCTTTCGTAATACAACAAGCACACAATTTAAATGCTCTAAATGCTCATCTAGGGTTTTGCTATAGATTAAGATGTCATCAAAGTAAACCACAACAAATTTCCCAATAAAAGCACGCAAAACATGGTTCATTAAACGCATAAAAGTGCTCGGTGCATTAGTGAGTCCAAATGGCATAACTAACCATTCATACAACCTATACTTAGTTTTAAATGCCGTTTTCCATTCATCACCCTCCCGCATGCGAATTTGATGATACCCACTCTTAAGATCGATTTTACTTAAAATGCAAGCCCCATGCAACTCATCAAGCATATCATCTAACCTAGGTATTGGATGACGATACTTTACCGTGATATTGTTGATAGCTCAGTAATCCACGCACATTCTCCAAGTCCTGTCCTTCTTAGGTACCAACAAAACAGGTACAGCACATGGACTCATGCTCTTCCTGACATAACCTTTGCTCATCAACTCCTCCAATTGCTTCTGAAGCTCCTTCGTCTCCTCGGGATTGCTTCGGTAAGCTGGTCGATTAGGTATGACAGCTCCGGGTACAAAGTCAATCTGGTGCTTGATGCCTCTGATTGGTGGCAATCCACTTGGCATCTCCTCGGGAAACACATCGTCGAACTCCTGCAATAAAGATTTAACCAAATTAGGGGGGGATGTGTTAGAATCCTCAAAATTGAGGAGGGACTCCTTGTACACTAACAATATCATTTGTCTACTTTCACTCATAGCCTTTTTCAACTCACTCTCCTTTGCATAGAAGTTGACCTTTGGCTTTTCTATCCGCTCAGCTGACTCTTTTTCTCTCTTCTCAACTAACTCCTTTTCTTTCCCTTCATGTGGCTCCTCTCTCTTTCCTCCACTCTTAGTCATCTCACTATTTTCTCTCTTATCGATGGTTTCACTATTGCCTCTCCTTTTTCCAGACTCTCTTATTCTCTCATCTTCCTCACTTTTCAGCTTGAGTTGATCTCCATAAACGAGTGTAGGTGTTAATGGAGCAAGAGTAATAGTCTTCCCATCCTTGACAAAGCTATATCGATTCCTATACCCATCATATGTGACCCTTCTATCATATTGCCATGGTCTTCCTAACAATATATGTCCCACATGCATAGGCACCACATCACAAACTACTTTGTCACTATAACTTCCAATCGAAAAATTGATTAAGACCCTTCGATTCACCTTAACTTCCCCACTATCATTCAACCATTGTAACTTATAAGGCCTAGGATGTCTTAACAATGCTAGTCCTAGTTTCTCAACTATAGTTGTGCTAGCTACATTCGTGCAACTCCCACCATCAATTATCATGCTACATACCTTATCGTTGACGTAACAACGTGTATGGAAGATATTTTCTCGCTGCTGCTCCGAATCATCCACTTTGACTTGAGTGTTAAGAGCTCTCCGTGACACCAACGACTCTCCAACAACAAACTCCAATTTTTCTTCTTTTTCAACGTCCTCCAATGCAGGAATGTCATCATACTCGCCTTCACTTTCACTCACCACTTCTCCATTATCCAACAACACCATTACCGTTTATTTGGACATTGAGAAGCGATGTGCCCGGACCCCAAACATCTGAAACACTTGATATCTCGGTTTCTTAATGGTTGTGAATCAGTTTTGGGTGCTGTTTTGCTAGCACTTTCCTCTTTCCCTTTTTGCCATTCATTCCTACCATTAGGTACAGCTTTATCAACCTTATTGTTGTTGTTGTTGTTCCATCCCGGTTTCCAAGATGGATTTGCACTCGAAGTTTCTATCGGTTGCCTAGTTGTCCCTTTCCTCTTCAACTGTCTCTCCACCTTCATAGCCACATGCAACAGGTCTTCCAACTCCACATAATGTTGCAACTCTACTACATTGGCAATTTCCCGTGTCATGGTAGCCTCTCGATCCTCCACCACTTAGCCCTAATCATGAGTATTTCCATCTCCTTATGGTAATCTTCTACACTTTTCGACCCTTGATATAGGCCTTGCAGTTTTTGATGGATATCTCGGTAATAGTGGCTAGGAACAAACCTCTTTCTCATCAATGACTTCAATTCTTCCCAAGTGCTAACTGGTCTTCCCCCACTCCTACGTTGTGAAGTAACCACTTGGTCCCACCATGAAATGGCATAGTCACTGAACTCTAAAATCGCTAACTTCACCTTCTTTTCCTCCGAATAATTATAACATTTGAAGATCATCTCAACCTTTCTCTCCCACTCCAGATATGCTTCGGGATCGCTCCTTCCTTTGAATGAAGGAATGGTCATCTTTATATTTCCTAGATTTCCATCCAACTCCTCCCCGCGATCATTCCAACCCCGTCTATCGAACCTATCGCCTCTATTCCTCATCCTTCCCATCTCAACACCGT